ACTAGGTAAATTGAGACTTACCCAGATTTTCGGCTAACTCCGTCAGCCTTGTTCACGGACCCGTGAAAGGGCTTTATCCATCACTGGCCATGATAAACAATGGATTTTGTAAGAGCTTTTTTCATAGTCAGTGGCTTTTCTACCAGTAAATGTTCCATTTGTTATCATTTCGTGATTTTTTTAAAATTCATTTTATTCTAGGAACGACAGAATGATCAAGCGGAAGCCACCCAATGGGCAACTGCGATACAGCTGACCAGCGGGATACCGGCTCTTGTAGTGACGGTCATGATTGGTTCTTTGTCAGACAAGCTCGGACGGAAGCTCAATATCACCATCCCCGTTATTGGAAGCTTGATAAAGTAATTATAATTCATTTTTAATAATTCTTCTGGTGGACTTTTATCTCAATAGCGTATCACAAATTGTTGAAAGCAATCATCAATTGTTTTATCATCAAAACATGTAATAGATTAGCTTTGGTAGAATTGAAATTCTGTGCAGTTTGTACGGATTAACTCTGTTATTGTTGTATTTTATTAAATTTCGTGTATGTAACCTTGTTCTTTATAATGTCTGTCATAAATTGTTCCAGTAACAGTCATCGAGGAATGAAATTGATTGATCATCTTGTTTCATTCCCCAGCTTTACTGTAGCTGCCTTTGTTGTCCAGTTTAACCTACCAATAGCAGCCCTCCTCCCAGGTTAGTTATGACCCAAGGCTTTTCATCTTTGGCCAATCTTTTGAAGTTTCAACACATTTTCTAAGTTGTTTATTTTTAGTACTCAATAGATACAATTACATGGGTATCAGAATGCATTGTAATTAGAATCAAATGCTGATAACTCAAGAAGAAACTTATTTGATATTTGGTGCGTCAGAAGCTGTTGTAGAAAAGAAGGTCAAGTTCGAAAATGGTTGATTCGGCTTTTCCCAAGTTTTAATATTTCTATACTTTATGACATTGTATTTTTTCCCAGGGTACTTCTTTCTCGGACTTGGGGGCAGTGCTGCGGCTCTAAGTGGAGGTTGCTATGCCTACATCGCGGACATCACTTTGAAAGGAAGATCACGTTATTTTCGCCAGGCTCTCCTGGCAGCCGCTGCTGGTAATGCTATGTTCATATTCGAATGTAGCAATGTATTCATATATTTCTTATGGTATACATAACAAAGGATGATAATGCTGCAGCATAGTTATGGGCTTATACATGTATGTGCGGTATAAGAGGTCTAGAGCAAGTTCAGAAACCAGCTTTGTATAGTATATATAGTTTAGCAGCATCTTGTGGCCTGGACATTTTTACATTCGCCCGTTCGCATTAGTTTTGTGGTCTTCAGAGGATGTCATCCATAAAATTGAGTCAGTGTGGCCTAACTGCAACCACGTGCAATATATTTGATAGTTTCTTCCACTCTACATTTTTATAGGGGCGTCCGGGATAGTTGCTGCCTTGGGGGGAAATTTTTGGTTCCAACAACTTGGTTTCCCCTTGGGCATTTCGCAACCGTTTTGGTTTACTGTCGGTTTGACTGGGTTTTGCCTGCTGTACACCATCTTCGCCGTGAAAGAGACCTGTCCAAGGAAACCTGGAAGTCAACTCTGTGCGGTGTCCAACATCACAGGCATCTTTCAGCTCTTCAAGGTTAAGAGGAGGACACCAAGATGGCCGATCGGTGTTCTGGGTTTGGTATTTTCCCTAATCTGGGGCATGTATAATACCATACCTACCCTCATCGTCACGTATCTTGTGGGTCCGCCATTTTGCTGGTCGCCAAGTTTCGTGGGGTTCTTTCAAGGTGCCGTTGGTGCCGGCTTCTTCGTGTCGGCAGTCGCCATCAAACTGTTCAGCAAATACCCCTATGTTCTGATGATGGTAAGTGGTTAGCAAATAATATTACACCTCAAAGACCAATAACACTACAATACACCAGTTCCTGAAAATAGTCAAACGTGATAGGTATTATTCAATGAACAAAGAATAGTTAAGCTTTGGTACAAACCTCGTTCATGGAATAAAACCTGTTTGGCTATTTTCAGGAACTGGTGTATTTTAACGTTATTGGTGTCATATAGTCTTTGAGGTGTAATTTGTATACATTTTTTGTCTTATGGCCTCACTCAAATGCTGTGATTTCCTTTTCCTTTGTGTTTTATTGTTTGCAATGAGAATCCATTTAAGAGGAAGCCAAGGGGTGTAAGGATGGTGTTCTGCCTTTTCCATACAGGTGGGATATCTATCGTCAGTGGGCTGCTTTACCATTGCAGGACTATCCCCATACACACCAAACCAGGACGTGGCCATGTTCATCTGTGAGTGATAACTTGTTAGATCCCTTGGTCATATTTTTATAAGATATGTACTATTTTGTGCACAATGTGAATAAAACTAAGTTGATGCATTGTAACCTACTTTGTCATAATCTTGAAATAGGGATCATTTTAGAATCTGTTATCCTGCTATTGTTACAGCTGCAGCTATTGGTTGCATGTTGTCTGCAAGCAACACAGTCCTGAGGACCACCATGTCTAAGATGGTTGGACCTGAGGAACAAGGTACGTATGCACATAGTAAGACCTTCCTACTTTCAATATAACACGACATGGAACTTAGAACTGTGTATATATCAGATACCTTTGACCCAGTGTTGACTCCAGACTTCACAAAAGCTAGTGTGACGTTGTGTGGCGTTGTGTGGCGTAAAAGCAGAGCATTAAGCTCAGAACTAAGAGGTCCCGGGTTCGAGTCCTGCCAAGTCACCAACCTTGTGCCATTCGGAAAGGCACTTTATACGACTTTCCTCACTTAGCTCAGGTGAAAATGAGTAGGCCAAAATGATCATTATTTTTATTGTTCTCTGTGTGTATTAACCTAAAAATCATGGGATCATAATGTGTATCTGTGTTTGTTGTATTACTACAGGCAGCTTGTTTGGCCTGGTGTCCTTTATAACGAGCCTATCCGGTGTGGTGTTCGTCCCGCTATGGAACTTCGTGTACAGCCGTACCATTTTCATCATGCCTGGCATGATATGGTTGATTTTTGCCGCAGTCATTGTGCTCAGTGCTATCTTGACTGGGTAAGTCTTTTTTTTCTTACTTCAGGAATTCAGGAAGTTGGGCATTATCAGGGACTCAACGCTAGATGACAAGTGGTATTGCTGACTTTTTAAACTATTTTAAAACTATTTTCGACTTTTTTGACTAAGCAACTTTTTTTACGTCTAAGAGAATTTTTTCTTCCTAAGGTTTGTCAAGTTTATGGCTCCGGAGTTGGAGGAAGACAACCTTGTGGAAGAAGAAAAAGAAGACTACGACACAACGAAACTTTAAAGCTCATTGTAAGTCGGTACAGGATAAAGGTTTATCTGTCGGTTTCCTTCACCAGTAGGTTTGCTTCATTTCACCATGAATATGGAGGTACACAAACATTGCCAACAGTGCCCAAAGATAGAATATATACTATTAGTTAAATGTGGATGTATTGACATAATCTTTTGAGATTGCTTGATAATGTGTTATTATACATACCCACATCATTGCAAGGAATGGCTGCAACACAAATTCCTATTGACTTTGTATCTAGAATATCATACGATTATTGGTTTAATCAAATTTAATTTTCTGTGTTGGAAATAACAGTTAAAATCTGTTTCATAATGACTTCTACCGACATAGGCAACTTCAACGGTTTATCTACAAGCTTAATTCTTCTTACCTTTGCATTTGCTTGACTATTTCATTTGAAAACATGTATGGGTATGTATAAAAATGTATGCAGTGACAAAAATGAGCAGAAAAAAAGCGTTCTTAGCTAGAAGAAATCAAGAGAGTTTTTACAGTGAAAAGAAATTTTATCCCCGCCCCCACAAAAAAGTCACGTTTTTAGTCTATACACCACGTTTTTCGGCGGTTCACAAGTCACGTATTCCTACGTGTCATACGTCACGTTTATAAAAAAATGTACGGATACTTTACGTACATGGGGTTCTGCATACGTACGCATGGAAGTAAATAAATGTTGCATAGACCTCAAAACGTGATTATTTTACGTGCGTAATTTTGACATGGAAATTATGAGACCGAGCAGGGCTGTTTGCGTGAACAAATAATAAACAATTTACATCAAGAATATACACAAATAGTACTCATCATTATTTTTCGAATATACACAAATAGTACTCATCATTATTTTATTGTATGCTAAGGCTGTTGTCTTTTATATATTATACTACAGTACGTCTACGTCAAACTATATGTAGACAATCAAAGCGTTGTTGATGCAAGTTGTTGCAGGCATGTTTTATTGCTGACGTGGCGCGTTGGCTTTCTCTACTGTTTATTCACGTCAAAAAGCAATAATTGTCTGCAAAAAAGCGTAGGCAGACGACATAAGGTCGCCGTTGGCTTCGGAGTGCTGTATTCACTAAGCTGGGTGTGTGCGAGCGTGCAGCATGTCTGCGAGTTACCGCACTGTCGTCTTTCTCTGTGTCCTGATGTGGGTGGTACAATCCTCAAGGGATCGGCCAGTGGGTGACACTACATGTGAAAGATGCGTCTGTATGAAAACATTGGTCTCCTGTTACGGCTTGCGTCTCAAGACGGTCCCTAAGAAAATCCCACCCGCAGCAAAACGTATCTTTATGGATCACAACGACATATCGGCGATCAAAAACCAGTCTTTTCGAGGCGCTCATTCTACTAAAGTTCTCAATCTTTCCAATAACGCCATTGCCGACATCGAAGCAGGGGCGTTCGATGGCTTGGGGGACTTGGTTAGTCTCTTGTTGCAGTCCAACCGCCTGTCTGTCGTCAAGAATCACTTCTTTCTCGGCCTTCCCATGGTGAAGTTCATTTACTTAGAGAACAACTATATTCGGTACGTTTCAGCATCGCCATTTTCAACCCTCAGATGGCTAAGACAGGTCCACCTAAAGAACAATCTCCTGCAAACCGTGCCTTGGGATGCGATGAAGACGCTGAATAAAGAAAGTGCATGGTCATTGACAACATATTTTCTGGAAGGGAACAAGATTCAACACCCTAAACCCCCACCGCAAGATCTTAGATCCCGTAAGCCCGTTCTTGGAATCCGTCTAGCCAAGAACCCTCTGAAATGCGACTGTGACTTCGGAGAATTCTTTGACTGGCTCACTCATAATGGCCAGGAAAAGATATCCGTGGAAGATGCCGACCTTCTTATCTGTCACCGCCCCTGCGAGCTCAAGAACACACCCATCTTGACCATGCCTCGTACACAACTTATCTGTGAAGATGCACACGCCACCGAAAGTTGGACCACGCCAGAAACTGACGAACACTGTGACCTTGACAACGCAACCTCCGAACCTACCAACCCGTCGGCTACAGACTTTCTGGGTCTTACAGCAGGACTTGACAAACCACCAAAACCAAGTACTGACTCTCACGAAGCTGTCACCACACCCAAGGTAGTTATCTACCTTATGAAAGATCGTACCAACAATTTTGTCCCCAACACAGATTTCAGGATGAGTGAGTACTCCGATCTCTTGCTTTATTTCATCGTTATAATGATAGCCAATGCAGGGATATCTTATATTCTGTGTCCCTATATCACAAATTGGTTCAGTAAGAATCAACAAAGCAACAATATCTATGATGACCCTGCAGCCGACGATTCAAGCAATGACACAATGCGCCAGTCTGTTCATTTTTACGAAGATATCGATATTGCTCGTCATGAAGCGAAACAGGTACAAAATGAAAGAGATCCCGATCAGGATTCCGCATTCGGAGACTTTAATGACTAAGACCATGTTGTTTTGACTATATGAATTTGACTATTGTTTGCTTGTGCATGAATTCCCATCTCTATCCAAAAACGTTTCTGACTATACTGTACGTCGTACAAAGTAGCTGCAAAATGCGCAAAAAAATGCCGTAAATTGAAGAAAAGGGGAAAAGAAAAATATGCTAATGAATGTAGAATTTCTCTTCGTAGAATGCCAAATTAATTCCAAAGGAAAAGAAGTAATGTGAAGAAATAAAAATAAAAAGCCTATTATTTTGTTTAACCTTCATGATCACTTAGATTTCATGACAAAGGCAACATTTTGTGCTTTTTTTTTCATTTGCACGCTCAAGTCAGCTTTGCGCTCAAGGGGGTTTCCAGAGAATGCCATTCATATGAATCAAATCAAAATGGCCTACGTAGAAACAAATTGCGTCGTCTCCCTGTATAATCATAAAGGAACCACCCGATGCAATATTTTAATCCATTTCAATCCAGCAAGGGCTGATTTTTAACAATATTTAGACAGAAAACCAGCGTCTCATAGAATACGAAGATATTTTATTTTGATTTTTTTAAATCAGTAAGACGTTAGTTGGTAACATGATGTCGACGATTAACATTCTATTTTAACAAACACCAGTATGAAAATACGTTAATTAAAACAATGTTTAAACGTTCCTATTTCAAAACATGATTTGCTTTTTTTTTTATGAATTCATTGCAACGTCACATTTTGTGTTTAGTACCGGAAAAGAAGCCGAATAGCGTTCCGTAAAACAAGGGTTAGTTAGCAGGGTTATATGATTTTTTTCTTACTTTATCTTCATTTTAGCGGTATTGGTAGCAAGCGATCTCTTTTTAATAATTGTGCTGTGAAAAGAAAATGTAGCAACCAGTCTTATTTATTATATTCTTATCCAGGGACTCATTATTTAGTAAAAAATATATCATTTTGCAGTGATTAGGCGCTAAGCACCTCTGTTACATTTAGGTTGTGCAGAATCTAGCATACACAATGTTTTGGCTGCTGTGATTTGAGTCAAAAGATTTAATAAAGTGAAACAGATTTTAGGTCTGTTGTTATTGATGGTGATGTTATAATTGCTTGCCAAAAAAAATAATGTTAGCTTTACGTTATACGTATTCCTAACCTGTTTCAAATAGCCATGTGACTTCTGTAAGCATATTTGCTTAAGCAAAATGTACATACATAATATTACATATCATACAACTGCTTCTCAGAAACCATTTTGACGCAGTCTTTAAATACCTACATTGTATTTTGTGAGTATAGGAAAATCTATAGGCTTTATAAAATTACAAACGTTTCGTCATTTTAGTGCTAATTGTACATTCATAAAGAGAATGTAACAAAGCAACGCAGAATTCTACATCTAGGCAATTTTATGTAAATTATCACTCGCGTTAAAGACAACATGAAACCAATGACAAAAGAATACGACAGTTCCTGGAAATGGTTTGTTGTGAATTTTGCAAATCATCTTTCTTGCTGTCAGAAGCCAAGTAATTCAATTTAATGCTGCCAGTGATGTCACGGTAAGCATGTTAGGAAGCAAATACATAATAACAATGGATAATACGATTGCATTTCTAAACCGCCTCCATTGTCATTTGTTTCATGTAGTCTTTAAGTGTGAGAATTTTAAGTAAATTGATATCTTCAAAATGTCTTTAAGTGTGAGAATTTTAAGTAAATTGATATCTTCAAAATGCTTTTAGGTTTTCTTCAAGGATGAGAATTTTTATCATCATCACATTTAATCATATTTACATGTATCTTTTCTTGTGTGTGTGAATAAAAGTGATTTAAAAGATTTTCATGGTTATTCTTTATTGCAACATGAGCAGTGGCAAAATGATTACTGGCAAATGGATACAGTCAAGCTAATTTAATACTGTCTTTGAAGCCTTGAAAAGAGCTGCTTTGAGATTAGCTTCTGGATACGCCTGGACCAGACAATCAGAACCGTTCCTGAGCATGGTTATAGATAAAGCAACGTTCTGGATACAGCAGTACCATTCCTACGACAAAGTCGATTTAACATAACCCATTGCTCTTACGGCCTCTGAAAGCCGTGGGACCTTTGTCTTTATATGGTTATGAATGTTTTAATATTGATTTCACAACGCAGGTAAACTGCTTTGTTTGGCTATGTCGAGAATACCTATGCATGCGAACATAAATTGTCTGGACTCTTTTTGCATGGCGGCCAGAGTGTATCGACACCGATAACGATAACGTAGCCTTGGTTCCTTATTGGAGCATAAAAATTGCTTACGCTCCACTTTTTGAATATTTTGAAACAGCTGTAAATATCAAAGGTGATATTTTCTTGTATATACCATATTTGGCCTTTACTATTTGTTATGTTTACCTTTGCAGAATGAAAATATTACTGCTCTTCTGCTTGTTTGTAAATACAAACACAAAAGCACAGACAAACATGCACAATCACATAAATGACTGTAAATACGCGTACGCGCGCACACGGGTAATGACGTCACGACGTAGCTACCAGGGTTGCTGCAGTTAAAGTCCTAACTACAAGGGGGTGCTGGTGCACTAGCATTTTACTTGAAAAAAAAACTCACGCCTCTTATGCTGTAAAAGATACCGGGCATAAGGGACAGAACAATAGAACAGGGACAGAACTGAATTATAGCTACGAAAAACTTACAGATGGCAGTTAAATATGTATGTTGTATATATATTACAGTTATTTACCAATGAATCCATCGGAAAAGGTGATGCTTGCACATGCCATAAAATTGCTTTCATTCCTAAAATTGCTTTTATTTCTGGATGGAAAAGTCAAAATAAAACGAACGTGATCAACTCCTTGTACCGAAGCATTGTTACCGCCGGGAAAGCAGGTTCTGTTTCTGGTCGAGTTTGTGTGTTCTCAGCTGTAACTCACGGTGGGTCAACGTTGGATCGATGGATGACTTTAGTTTTCGGTATATGATTAGCTATTTTGGGGTCCAGATGATCTTTTTTCATTGTATCTGTGTTTTCAAGTGCCGAAATAAAAATATTTGGACACCCTCTGGACACCCCCAAATCAAATTTACCTAAAGCTGAGAGATCCATTATTTCCTTAGCCACAAAGACAATTAGATGCACTGGCCATTGCTACTACAATCAAATTGATAAATGGAGTACACACGGGGTTATACACTTAATTGTGTTACAATTTACTCGGTTAGTGTATTATAAGACCATAAAAGTGACACATACCATAAAAGTCAGTTGGATCAATTCTATTATTAGATATTTGGGGTCTTGGGGGTTCGTCTAAAATGCATTAAAACGTCGGTCTTGATACGGTCCTGGAATTTTCGGTATCATGATAATGTGATTATGGGCGTCTGTGTCATTGATAGGGAGCCGATTTACTTTGTTTGCATTATTTCTACGCAATTAGACAAGGCCAAGTAACTTCACGTTGCGTACCTCGAAAGCAAAGCAAAAAAATGGACTTTTAAACCTCCGCAAAGTATTTTGGGTTTAAATATCACAAGCCCCCACTAGAAGAGTTTTTGGAGTCGTGGAAGGAATTATAAGATGTAATCCAATCGAGTATTACAACACTTCCGGTGAAAGGTCGGACAAATCCAAAAACTAGGCGACCCAAAATAATACTTTTGTACTCGGAAGTCAATATAAATAACACTCTTTTCGCCAATATCGTGAGATATGTGCACATTTTTTATACGCTGAAAAATCTTTTTTCGAATTTTTCATAATCATAATCACAGTAGAATATTCCCATAACCAATATTGTTATTTTTTGGACGAAAACCACTCTGACTAAAAAGATGTACATTCGGGTATACACATGTGCGGCACTTTGCGATGCGAGCTAGAAATGCAGCAATAGTTTAATCCCCCTTGGACCGACTGGTTCACTGGCTGTTGCTTTGGAATAAAGTCAATGAAGTTTTTCATACCATCCACGTAACAAGCTAAATATAGGGCGTCAAAATGACCTTTGTGTCGACTTGAATGATGAGATTGGTATTAAGAAAGAAATCTACACGTGACAAAACCAAATTCTTGCTACATAAAAAATGAACTGAAAATTGACTTTCAAAATCAGTTTTACTGCATTGGAATCGGTTGCCGAATACAGACTGGTAAACAACAGTTCGTAAGTTGTTTGCGCTCACTATGGGAAATATTACAAGTTATTTTTCCATTCTCATTAAGTATCATCAAGTTTTGAAAAAGGAGTGTAATTAGTTATATTTCTGTTTATTTACTATAACCCCTACAGACGTAGACCGACATAAAATATTGCAGCTGTAATAAAAAGCATGTATGGCTCTGGGCCCTTCCGGTACCTCGTATAGAAATGGACTTTGAACTATTTGTTACTTGGCATTACTGCACATAATTAGTAGTTTGTGAGGTACATAATGTACATAATATATATATTTTGCAGCGGTAGTAAATATATATACTTGTCATACATAACTTTATCTAGGAAAGAAACAGCAAATTGAAATAATTTCCGGTCTATTCTATACATGACCACATGCATGACTGCTTTTGTGGGGACGGAAATAAAAGCAATTCTAAATAATTCCTTCTTTAACGACTCCGGAATAAAAAAAAAAGTATCTTGCACAGCTGTGTGTGTTTGCAAAACTTTGATCGCATGGTACCACATTTATGGCTATTCTGAGCCCAGCAACAGACTGCTATAGAAACCGCCGACAAATGTCTAGACATACGATTACTCCCAGCCAATATCTGCTACACTCGACTGAGAACTTTTTCCCCAAATCAAGCTGACCTTCTGAAGATAAATACGACCTTTTGGAAATTTGTGCCAAACGTATTCCATCATTATGACGAGTGGCTTGGCATTGCAATATATCATCTGCTTAGACATCACAGCAGGATCGCCATGCATACTTCAAAAGGGACAAGATATATTTCGTCGGTAAAATAACTAAACTGACCGATCGAAAAAGAAAACAAACTGAGAA